CGTTCCCGGCCGGTTTTGTCCCCCGTTCCTCCCCTGGTTCCAGCCGGGATTGATCCCCGATCCTCCCTTATCGCTCCCGCCACCCCTGCGGGTCCAGCTCGGCTCCTCCCCGGGTTCCAGCCGGGTTTGATCCCCCGATCCTCCCTTATCGCTCCCGCCATCCCTGCGGGTCCAGCTCGGCTCCTCCCCGGGTTCCAGCCGGGTTCCTTTATCCGCTTCTGCCTCGTTTCCAGCTCGGGTCCTTTATCGGCTTCTGCCCCGGTTCCAGCCGGGATTGATCCCCAATCCTCCCCCGATCCTCTCCCGGTTCCAGCCGGGTTTGATCCCCCGATCCTCCCCCGGTTCCAGCCGGGTTTGATCCCCCAATCCTCTCCCGGTTCCAGCCGGGATTGATCCCCGATCCTCCCTTATCGCTCCCTCCACCGGCTCCGGGTCCCGGCAGCGCTCTCGGGGTACCGGGAGAGTTCCGTTCCCTCGGGAATTCGTCACCTTTGTGTGACACGAATGATCCAGCGCTGCCACCAGCCCAGCTGCCCTGCGGGAGATCCAGGAGATCCAAGAGATTCAGGAGATCCTGCAGCTCCAGGAGATCCTGCAGATCCGAGAGATCCAAGAGATCCAGGAGATCCTGCAGATCCAAGAGATCCAGGAGATCCTCCAGCTCCAGGTCTTTCCTGTCCGGAGGAACCCAGAACTGGACACTGAACTGGGCAGAGATGGACACTGAGCTGGACAGAACTGGACACAGAACTGGACAGAACTGGACACAGAACTGGACACTGAACTGGACACAGAACTGGACACAGAACTGGACACAGAACTGGACACAGAACTGGACACGGGACTGGACACTGAACTGGACACAGAACTGGACACTGAACTGGACACAGAACTGGACACTGAACTGGACACAGAACTGGACTGAACTGGACACTGAACTGGACACTGAACTGGACGCAGAACTGGACACTGAACTGGACACTGAACTGGACTGAACTGGACAGAACCGGACTGAACTGGGCAGAACTGGGCAGAACCAGACACGACAAAAAGGGAAACGAGGAACAAAACAAACCCAAAAGCACCCCGGAGCAGCCCCACGCCGAGGTTCGAACACAAAACTCCAACGAGAGCCCGAAAATGAACCAGAAATCCCAAACTGAAGGGAAAATCTGGGTTTAGATGTGGCAGAAATGATTTGTTATATTCGATATAACGTATAATATACAGTATATAATGTATACTGTGTATTATATGCGATATACAATATGCAATATACCATACACAATATATGATATACAATATACCCTATACAATATACCATATACAATATACAATATACAATATATGATATACAATATAATATATACAATATACAATGTATGATATACAATGTATGATATACAATATACAATATACGATATACGATATATGATATACGATATACAATATACAATATATCATATACAATATATAATGTACAATGTACAATATATGATATACAATATACAATATATCATATACAATATACAATGTACAATGTACAATATACAATATACGATATACAATATACAATATACAATATACTATATTAAATGTATAATATACAATATACGATATACAATATACAATGTACAATATACAATATATGATATACAATATACGATATACAATGTACAATATACAATATATGATAAACGATATACAATATACGATATACGATATACAATATACAATGTACAATATACAATATACGATATACAATATACGATATACAATATATGATATACAATAATTGATACCATATATAATAAATAAATAATAAATAATACATAAATATTCACACCCAGGTGTGAAAAACAAGGTCTCAAAACAGAAAAAGTTTAAATTGGGATAAAGTTTCCAGATTTCTCTCTGGGCCTTTCCCGAGCTCCGAGCGCGAGGAGCAGAAATGGGAAAATAAAGATGGAAAAGCTGAGGACGGCGGCTCGGAAACCTGGAGAGCAAGGAAGGGAACTGGATATAAGCTGGGTATAAACTGGGTATAAACTGGGTATAAACTGGATATAAACTTGATATGAACTTGATATAAACTGGATATAAATTGGATATAAATTGGATATAAACTGGATATAAACTGGATATAAACCATATAAACTTGATATAAACTTGATATAAACTTGATATAAATTATATAAACTTTCGATAAACTTTCTATAAACTTGATATAAACTATACAATCTTGTATAAATTTGATATAAACTATATAAACTTGATATAAATTTGATATAAACTTGCTATAAACTATATAAACTTGATATAAACTTGATATAAACTTGATATAAATTATATAAACTTTCGATAAACTTTCTATAAACTTGATATAAACTATACAATCTTGTATAAATTTGATATAAACTATATAAACTTGATATAAATTTGATATAAACTTGCTATAAACTATATAAACTTGATATAAACTTGATATAAACTTGATATCAAGTTCTCCAACCACAGCGGGGCTTTGGGAGGAGCTGTGGAACGCAGGAGGAGCAGCTGCTGCCCAAAGGGGAATTTCCAGGCAAGGTCACCCACGGGAGAACTCGCTGGGATCCACACCCAGATCCCTTTTTGGGAGCTCTCCTGGACAGGATCCACACCCAGATCCCTTTCTGGGAGCTGTCCTGGACAGGATCCACACCCAGATCCCTTTTTGGGAGCTCTCCTGGACAGGTCACCCATGGGAGAACTCACTGGGCTCCACCCCCAGATCCCTTTTTGGGAGCTCTCCTGGACAGGATTCCCAGGGAGACCTCGCTGGGATCCAGCCCCAGATCCCTTTCTGGGAGCTCTCCTGGACAGGATGCCGGGGAGAGGTGGAGCCAGGGAATGATTTCCAGGAAAAGCTGGTGGTGGATTAGGCAGGAGCCCCATTGCAATGAATATTTCTGGTTGTGCCAGATCAATTCCCCTCGGCAGCGGCCCCTGAGCTGCGGGAGCGGCAGAGATCCGCTGGATCCCGGCTGATCCCAAATCCGGATTGGGGATCCTGCGGCTCTGCAGGGAGCTCAGCCCGGCCCGTTCCGGTACCGGGGGCTGGGGGGCACGGGGGGGCTCTGGGGACACTGGTGTGTGCTGTGGATTGGGGTCCTGGGGGGCACCGGGGGGCACTGGGAGACACTGGGGGGAACTGGGGGGACACTGGGGAGGCACCGGGGGGGGGCACTGGGGCTCTGGGGACATTGGGGTGTGCTGTGGATTGGGGTCTAGGGGGCACTGGGGCTGCACCGGGGGACACTGGGGGACACTGGGGGGCACTGGGGGGGCACTGGGAGACACTGGGGACACTGGGGGACACTGGGGACACTGGGGTGTCCAGGAGTGACCCCAGCATTTGGGGTCAGGCTCCCAGGACACACCCAGGGGTCTCCTGGCCGGGGCTGTCCCCCCTGCCCGGGCTGAGCTCACTGTCCCTCCCCAGCCCCTCAGCAAGGAGGGTCCCCATGTCCCCCTATGTCCTCAGTGTCCCCTGGGGCCCCTGAGTGTCCCCTCAGTGTCCCCCTTTGTCCTCTCAATGTCCCCTCAATGTCCCCTCAGTGTCCCCCTTTGTCCTCTCAATGTCCCCTCAATGTCCCCTCATTGTCCCCTCAATGTGCCCTCAGTGTCCCCCTGAGTGTTCCTCAGTGTCCCCTCAGTGTCCCCCTTTGTCCCCAGTGTCCCCCAGCGCTCCCGGTGCTCTCTGCCCCCCATGTCCCCCCTGGCTGTCACCCTGGCCGTGCTGGCCATGACCGCGGTCACCGCCGAGGTGCAGGAGGTGACCCTGGACATGGCCGAGGACTCGTTCGATGACCAGTACCAGGGCTGCCGGGACACCATCACCGCGGCCCTGCGGAACCTCAGCAGCGCCGAGTTCCAGAGGAACCCGCACCTGGCGCGGGTGTGGGCCAAGGCCGAGGCCACCTGGCGGAAGTGGGGACGCCCCAAGAGCCACCTGTCCCCGGACCAGGCCATCGCCATCGTGGCCTACACCGGGAACGAGCTGTACGAGGAGTTCAACGCGGCGGTGCGCCGGGCCGGCAGCTCGGGGCTGTGGTACCACCGTGAGTTCCACTACAAATCTCTGGATTTCCTGCTGGCTGACGCCCTGGCCACGCTCTGGGAGCCGCGGTGCCGCTGCGTGTTCCGCGGCGTGGACGGGCGCAGGTTCCTCGCCCAGCCGGGAGACACCGTTCGCTTCGGTCAGTTCGCGTCCACGTCGCTGTGCCGGAAAGTTGCGCAGAAATTCGGGATGGACACGGTGTTCCAGGTGAACACCTGCCATGGAGCCAACATCCACACCTTCTCCAACTACAAGGGCGAGCAGGAGGTGCTGGTGCTGCCCTTCGAGACCTTCAGGGTCACCAAAGTCACCCAGGAAGGGAAAACAACGCGGATCCACCTCAACTCCAGCGGGACCTTCAGCAAGTACAACTGCGAGTGGCTGCGAGGTGACAGCGCGGGGACACCGGGGACACGGCCTGGGGTGGGGACAGGGACCCCTGGGGACACCGGGGACACGGCCTGGGGTGGGGACAGGGACCCCTGGGGACACCGGGGACACGGCCTGGGGTGGGGACAGGGACCCCTGGGGACACCGGGGACACGGCCTGGGGTGGGGACAGGGACCCCTGGGGACACCGGGGACACGGCCTGGGGTGGGGACAGGGACCCCCGGGACTGGGGACACTCATTGGGGTGGGGGGACAGGGACTCCCGGGGCTGGGGACAAGGACCCCCGGGACTGGGGACAGGGCACAGGGACCTCACTGTGGCCCCCTCTGACCCCCACACCCCCAGACCCCCCCTGACCCCCCTGACCCCTGCATGGCCCCTGAGCCCCCTCTTTGTGTCCCCAGGTGGGAGCCTGCCCAGCGACCCCCCCCAGCTCGGGGGGCTTCTCCTGGCCACCGTGGCCATGGCAGTGGCCAGCGGAACCCTCTGAGCCACGAGGCCACCAAGGTCACCGAGGTCTTGGGGGCCACTGTGGCCACCCTGAGCACAAAGGCCACCAGGACCCCCAGGGAAATGAAGCCACCGAGGCCACCGCGGTCACTTTGGCCACTGTGGCCATTGATGCCACCGGGGTCATTTGGGCCACTCTGGCCACTTGAGTCACCAATGTTGCCGTGGCCATGGTGGCCACCGGGGCCACTCTGACCACTGTGACCAGTGCGGCCACCATGGCCACAGAGAGCACCTGAGCCGTGAGGCCACCGCAGCCACCGTGACCACTGTGGCCACCAAGCCCTCCAAGCTGACCCAGGCCACCACTGCCACCATGGCCACTGTGGCCACTCTGGGCATTGGGGCCACCGGGGTTTCTGTGACCACCACAGCCACGCTGGCCACCGTGGCCACTGTAGCTCCCGAGGCCACAGAGGCCACCACGACCACTGTGACCCCTCTGACCGCTGTGGCCACCCCGGGCATTGGGACCACTGGGGTCACCATCGCTGTCCCCATGGTCACCATGGCCGTTGTGGCCACCGTGACCCGTCAGGCCACCGTGGTCACTGAACCTGCTGAGGTCACTGCGGCCACTGTGGTCATCAGGGCCACCGTGGCCACTGTGGTCATCGAGGCCACCGTGGTCACTGTACCTGCTGAGGTCACCGTGGTCATTGTGGTCACCAAGGCCAATGTGGTCATTGTGGTCATCGAGGACACCATGGTCACTGTGGTCATTGGGGCCACTGTGGTCACTGTACCCGCTGAGGCCACCATGGTCACTGTGGTCACCGTGGCCACCATGGTCACTGTGGTCATTGAGGTCACCCCAGTCACTGTGGTCATCGAGGTGACCATGGCCACTGTGGTCATCAAAGCCACCCCGGTCACTGTGGTCATTGAGGGCACCGTGGCCAGCACAGCCCCTGTGGCCCCCGTGGTCACCACAAGTCCCCGTTCCGCCCGGCTCCGGAGCTGGGGGAAGGAGCCAGGCCCCAAACCCGGCCAGGGGTGAAGTTAAACCAAACCAGGTGGAACCTCAGGCTCCGAAGCCAGAAGGCGATTCTATCATATTCTATCATATTCTATCATATTTTATCATATTTTATCATATTTTATCATATTTTATCATATTTTATCATATTTTATCATATTATTTTATCTTATTTTATCATATTATTTTATCTTATTTTATCATATTTTATCATATTTTATCGTATTTTACCATATTTTATCATAATTACAGAAGGGGAAATCTCGGGGAGGCCTTGAGGGCCAGCGCTGCCTCACAGAGGGCAACGGGGCTGAGTGGCCTTGGGGACAAGCGGTGAAACAGAGAAATTAAGAGTTAGGAAGAAATGCTTGACTAAAAGGGGAGTCTGACAAAAACCATCCCTGACACCCTGATCCACCAGAACAGGAAAAAGGGTCGGACTGCAAGATGAGATAAGGAGCGGGAATACACAAACAAGATGCAAAGACAAAGGCACGACAGGATGAAGGAAATTCCTCGGACCCTAAGGCGGAGGGAACGGATTTGAAGTCCCAAAAAGCGGACAAAGGACTGAAAGGGGCACGGAGCTAATTGTAATTCTGTAATTACAATTGTGATGTTGTAATTCTGTAATTACAATTGTGATGTTGTAATTCTGTAATT